TTTTGCTCTAGAGTCAAAGTCAAGTTTTTTCAGCAGAATATTTTGGATAGAAGAGAAAACAAAAATGGAACAAACAAATAAAACCTTAAAACAAAATGTAAGGTTTTCTGGGGCTGCAAAGTCAACAAGCCCTCCTGGAATCATCAGGTCAAACTACACATATCCAGGGAGCAAAGAACAACCATTAAATAAAGAAAATGGCCTAAAACAAATGCAGGGCTTTTCTGCTGATGTGTAAGGAGAACCACAACAAGCAGTAAATGCCTGTTCAAATGCAAATCATAAATCTAAGCATGTATTAAAAAATAAAAAATTAAAAAGTACTCAGGAGGCAGAGGCAGAGGGATCTCTAAGCATTTGAGGGCAGCCTGGTCTACATAGTGAATTCCAGGCCATCCAAGGCTACAGAGTAGGACTCCCATTCCTCCATCCACTTCTTAAAAAAAAACTAATAATAAAGCTTTTTATTTAGTATATATTCATTGTACAAAGTGATGACTGTCATAAAGTCATTTTTCTTCAATATACTATGTACTCTGACCACATTCACTCTCTCCCCTCTCCTATAAGGCTATCTCCTCTTCCCAATTAATCTCCCTTCTACTTATGTACATATTTGTGTGTGTGTGTGCCTGACAATTAAGTGAAGTGATGCTGATGCAATCTTAGAATCTATAACCCTGTAGGAATCCACAAAGTAACACTGTTAGTCATGTTTGCACTGTTGGCCTTAACACAATGCAGTCAGATAGATGCTCGGAGGGCACTGGTAGAGTTAGTTGATGTCATACTAACTGAAGGTAATAAAGGCAAGATGAAAGAACTTCCTGTTGGAATTACTTTCTGACTGTTTCTTTAAGCTCAGTAGGACACTGCCACAACCCTAATATCTGTGTCTTACCAAACAAATCTATTCAAACTCACCACGAAGCTGGTAGGAAAATATCATAATTTAATTTCAGCTGAACTAAAACTTGGCTCTATCCTACACATTGAAAAAAATATTTTGGCATGTATCATGAGAAATATGACCTTTAGAAGAAATATAACCCTTAGAAGGGAAAGTTTGTTTCAAGAAGTGCTCCTCAGAGACAAAAACAGGCTATCAAACTGGCTGCTAAGTACCAGCATCTGAGGTTGTATTCACCAAGTGAGCCAGTTCATCAATGACACTGGGTCAAGGAAGTCTCAGGCCTTTTGGATACATTTTTTTCTTTTAAGAAATTTAAAATTACCATTAAACCATTTCCAGTTTTTATTATAGAAGTCATTCAATAAGGATCTTATTTTGTATTATCTATAGCAGTGAAACAACAGATTTTCTGCACAGTGAACCAAACTCAGACAACTGTAGTGTTTCCCAGTAGTGTGGGTATCTAGGCATCCCATTCTAGAGATCCATAGTCTAATGAAAGAAGCAGCTATGGATAACAACTGTGAAATTCATTAATAGTGCTTAGTATGTCATGGGTTTAAAAATACTTTTCCCTCTCCCACAACAGAAATTATATAAAATGTTTAACAGCGTTCCCTTCTCAGGTAAGTTGGCAGTAGAACCCATCAAAGACTGAGCCACAAGAAGGTATCTTTAGAAATCATGACATAGTGATATACAAAACCATGAAGAATCTGAGAATGGGCACATTTTTAGACCTCAAGAATATTCACTCATAATAAACTGCATAATGTATCTAAAAGGAAAAGATTGGCTCAGTGAAGTAAGTAGTTTATAAAGTGAAATTCCTGAAGGATGAACACAGCTGCCCTCACTCAATATTGGTGTGAGGAAAGCCAACCGTCCTCACAATGATAGCTGAGGCTCTTAAATGTTACTCATATGGAAAGTTTGTCTCCCTATCTAAAAGCTATAACTTACACTATAACACTCATATACTTTTTAATCAAGAAAATTTGAAACATGTGATTTGAAACAGGAAGGAAACCACTAATGTGTGCTGTTGCTTTCTGTATCAGAATCAAAGCCCTTCTGTAAGCTGAAGCTGATTGGCTGTATAGTATTTCAACAAATCAATGTCCAATATACACAAAGTAACCATTATGTAATTGTGGATGGTTACAACTGGCTCACAAGAAAAGAATGTCACACACAGAGCTTTTCTCCTGCAACACAGTTTCCCAGTGTGCCCTGACAATCACTTTGGCAATCATGTCAAGGACAGAGAAAAGCCAGACTCGAAAAGATGCTGCAACAGATGAGCACCCACATAATTCCCTGTTTACAAGATTGAGGGGTTGGTCTCTATGCCTATAAACATTAGACAGCTCAGAAAAATCTTTTCTGCTTCCTGTTTCTTTTTAGTTCCCATAACCTTGGACCTTGAGTACATTTTTCCAAATCTATACAATTCTCAAACCCAACTGAACTATTCCTGTCCATGGTGGGACAAGTACAGAAGCAGTCTGTTCCTGCTTGGGAAGTAAAAGTCTATATTTGAATAATTACTGGTTCCCCAAATAACTAACTAGTCCTGTTATTGTTGTTTTTATTACCAAGGAGACAGACATCACACAATAGAATCATGGCACACTGTCAATTGTGGAGAACACACAGTTTCTGCAAGCTGAAATGGACAGCCGACAGATAATGAAGTCAGACCATACTTGTGCCCCTGATCTAATAATATATATTTTGAAGTGTTATCAAGACCAGACCATATTGGAATTTATAGGTATTTTGTAGTAAATAGAAGGAACTTGTTTATTCACTAAGTGGTTGTTTTATACATGATATATATCATATATAAAACTGAGCAGCCTGCAGGCTGTGCAGTGAGCTCCAGGTTCCCAGCTTTCTTTGTGAGCTGTCACACACACACACACATACACACACACACACACACACACACACATATGTGTGTGTGTGTGTGTGTGTGTATACACATATATATGTATACACATATATATGTTATATATATAACAAATCAGTATGTACACATATATATGTATATACTGAATTGCTAATTTATTATTTTAAACTTTATGCTAACTTTGTTTCATTCCTCCAAATGATCCTGGGCTTCCCTTGGCTCACCTCAAATGTGTTATCACCCCTGGGAATATTCACAGAGAAGTCTACTGCAGCATGTGATTCAGAGATCTGCATTTTCATGTTTATGGTACAGCTATTTATAACAGCTAAGCTATGGAATACTGCCCACTTTGCCCATCTAATGAACATTGAAAAAGTGGGATGTATATATGATAGAGTTTTATTCAGGCATAAAACGAATCATGTCATTTTCAGAAAATGGATGGATGGTAGATCACCAAATTAAGTGAACTATGACAGAATTCAGAAGATGAATATGTATATTTGCTCACTTGTGTAAAATCTACATTTATATATACAGTATGATATATGGAACACATATATATTATAACACACAGTCACAGAAACACACATAACACAAAAGTAAAGAGGGAGTTATTTGGAAAGAGGAAACAGCCCACATACTGTTGCGTGACAAAACTTTTCCAGGGAGATGCAACATAAACACCTACTCACCCCAGGCAAAGGACCCAAGACAGACCAAAGTATGGATACCATCAAAGTCCAACTTGGTGAACCATGAGTTGTTTTTATTGGGGTTACTTATAGAGCAGAAATGACTCAAAGACAGATGCATCACCAAAGCCTACCCCCAGCATGGGTGACAGCTCACAAAGCTGGGAACCTGGAGCTCACTGCACAGCCTGCAGGCTGCTCAAGAGATTGGAGACTGTCCTCTCCAGGTGCCTTAGTTGGTCTAAAACTCTTGCATGCAGCTCGGTTGGTTTCTGCTTCTTTCAGGCAGATGATCTGGTCTCAGAGTCTTCTCTGCTGCCTTTCTCCCCTGAGAATATTCTTTGCAGGTCAGCTTCTGTCTTAGTTAGGGTTTTCATTGCTCTAAAGAGACACCATGACCAAGGCAACTCTTATAAAGGACAATCTTTAATTGGGGCTGGTTCAGAGGTTCGGTCCATTATCATCATGGTGGGAAGCATGGAAGCATCCAGGCAGGGATGGCACTGGAGGAGCTGAGAAGTGTGAAGGCAAACAGGAGAAGACTGGCTTCCAGGCATCTAGGAGGAGGGCCTAAAAGGCCACTCCCACAGTGACACACTTCCTCTAATAAGGCCACACCTTTTAATAGTGCCATTCCCTGTGCCAAGCATATTCAAACCACCTCATTCCACTCCTTGGCTCCCATAGGCTTGTTCATGGGACCCACACCTAAACACAGCATAATGCAAAATACATTTAGTCCAGTGTCTGAAATCAACGTTTCTGGGCTCCTCCAAAGGGCTTGGGTCACTTCACCAGCTCTGCCCTCTGTAGCACTCTATGCTCTGGTTGACTCTACTCCACTGTTGCTGCTGTTCTTGGTGATCATCCCATGGTACTGGTGTCTCCAATAGGCTGGACTTGTCCACTGCAACTAGGCTTCACCAACAGCCTATCATGGGCTCTCTTCATGGTGCCAAGCCTCAACTTCTTTACATAATTCCTTCAGTCCCCAGCCATCAACTACAACTGAACCTGCACCTTCACCAACGGCCTTCCGTGGCCTCTCGGAGTGCCAAGTCTCAGCTGTTCTCCATGACCCCTTCATTCCTTCAACACCAGTACCACCTGGTAATTATTTTTGTTTTGTTTTGTTTTTCGAGACAGGGTTTCTCTGTGCAGCCCTGGCTGTCCTGGAATTCACTCTGTAGACCAAGCTGGCCTCGAACTCAGAAAGCCGCCTTCCTCTGCCTCCCAAGTGCTGGGATTAAAGGCGTGTGCCACCACTGCCCGGCTCACCTGGTGATTCTTAAACATTACCAAGTTCAGCTGCAGCATTAGTTACAACCTTGGCTATCTCTGGAACACAGCTTCTTTGCATGCTCAGAAAACACGTTCGTGAAGATCTCACCTCAGTGATGCTGGTCTCTTCTTAATCACTGCTAATTTCTTAGCTCTAGCTAACCAGCATCAGTTGTCCCAGTAGTCCCTTCTATTCTTGACACTAAAGCCAAAGCCACATAGCTAAAGCTGCTGATTTTGGCTGCTTAATGGAGCTGGAACATGGTTCCTTGTTTTATTACATTATCACCAGCTTTCTGCTTTCCAACCCCTTCCCTGCCTAAGCTTGGCTGTCCTTGAACTTTCTCCGTAAACTGACCTTGAACTTAAGAGATCTGCATGCCTCTGTCTCCTGAGTTCTGAGATTAAAGGCATGTACCAGGCTGGCTTTGAACTCAGGGATCTGCTTGCTTCTGTCTCCTGGGATTAAAGGTGTGTACTACCTTGCCTGGGCCTAAGCTTTTCATGGCCACTATTCCTCAAGATCTAGATCAAAAGCCTGTGTCTTCCAACTTGCAGATCTGTTATCACAGTTGTGTTCTTCATTTCTGGATTATAGTTCATTCCGGATTAAAAGCCCAGATGAAAACAATCACCAAGTCCCTTGGTCAACTGCAAAAGCATAATAAACGTAGAAGGGTGGGATCTCTCCTCAAGAACACAGTCCCTTAATCTATTTATCTCCTCGAACACGGCTTCAGCTCCATTCTACTTCCTGGTGCCCCTTTAATACTTGAACCACACATTTTTTATTTTTCTTTTCTCAACTTGTTCCTTTTCATCCAAACGATCTTTATAAGAGTAAACTTTAGTAACCACACAACAGAATTTATACCAGACTGTTTAGAGACTTCCTTTGTCAAAGCAATTAATCTAAATTTCTTTGCCTTAGTCTAAGGTGGACATTTCAGACAAGGGTAAAAAGCAGACACATTCTTCATCAAAATATCACAAGAACAGTCACTAGGCCACATACTGAAATTCTTCTCCATTAAAATGACTTGAGCCAGGTCTGCACAGTTCAAATAACCCCCAGCATTAATGTCTTCCGTATTCCTACTAGGATGGACCCTAAAGCCTCACTTAAAGCATCCTGCTACTTCCCGAAGTCCCCAGTTCCACATTCCTCCAAACAAAAGCATGGTCAGGCCTATCACAGCAATACCCCAAGCCCTGGTGCCAACTTCTGACTTAGTTACAGTTTACATTGCTGTGAACAGACACCATGACCAGGGCAACTCTTACAAAGGACAACATTTAATTGGGGCTGGCTTACTGGTTCTGAGGTTCAGTCCGTTATCATCATGTTGAGAATGGCGGCATCCAGGCAGGCATGGTGCAGGAGGAGCTGAGAGGTCTACATCTTGTTCTGAAGGCAAACAGGAGAAGACTGTCTTCTTAGACAGCTAGAAGGAGAGTCTAAAAGCCCACCTCCGCAGTGACACACTTCCTCCAACAAGGCTACACCTAGTAACAAAGCCATACCTCCTAATAGTGCCATTTCCTATGCCAAGCATATGCAAACCAGGATTTGGTCTGAGAAGGGCTTCCAGCTTTTATTGAGTACTCTAGCAGGGAAGAGCCTACTGAATCTGGTCAGTTTCTGGGACTTCCTGCGGCTATTTTGAATGTTTACCTTCCTGTTTAGGTAGCTTCCTGCAGGGTGGAATATTCCAATCTTAGAGGAAACTCTTACATGATGTATAAAAAGGATAGTAAAGGACAGCGGTGGTAGGTATGTATAGGATCAAAGTGTATGATATACTGTATGAAACTATTACAATGAAACCTCTACTTTGTCTAGGTAATAAACACCAACTCTTAATTTCAAATAAAAGCCATGTTTTTGCCTAATGAAAAACTTTATTGCAGGGTAAAAGACACCATACCCAGGTCCACAGGCAGCAGAATCAGCCATGTTGGCTCCCCTCTCTTTCTTTCTCATTTACTTCAGAGTGACTACACAATGCCATCCAATGGCTGTCTGCCCAGTTGGATAGAATCTAGCTCTTTAGAGATAGGTGTGTACTTTAAAGGACACCACCACTCAGATGAACTTGCACCTGCCCAGAGGAGCTCACCTGTAAAAACAACAACTAAACAGAAAGACAGATGTTACCAACTCTCCTGCGTTGTTGATGGTGGTGTGCCAAATGCTTCGACAGAGGGTCATGCAGAGGAGGCTTACAATTACGTGGAACAGGCCATTGTTTAAAGGAAATCCAGGTAGGAACTCAAGCAGCTGTTATATCATATCCACAGTAAAGAGGAGAGAGAGAGAGAGAGAGAGAGAGAGAGAGACAGACAGACTTCCTCCCTTGCTAGCTTGTGGTCGGCCATGTCAGAGCCTCCCACCCATGGAATGGTGACCCTCAGAATAGTCTGAGTCTTCTACATAAATTAACAGCCAAGGCACTCTCCCAGAGATATGACCACAGGCTAATCTGATTTAGACAATTCCTCAAAAGATTTTCTTCTCAGGTGATTCTCGGGCATGCTGATTTGACTTAAAATTTACCTACATGTTGGCCATCTGGAATTATCAGTATGAACAGTGTATTGCTTGAAACTATAAAATCATTTTGAAAAATAAATGATCACATCTGAAAAGTACAAAAGCTAAAATCATGGAGAAATATTGACATTTCAAGGAGAGCTGGAAAGATGTCCCCCAGTATTCTGCATAGTTCTGATACTCAGAAAGCTGATTTGTCTACTTTTTTCAACATACTGTTTTCCAGTATTATATCAACTTATGTGTATCATTCATTTGTTTTCTCTGTGTGTCTCTGATGATTCCAGAGAACAGACTCACTGCTACATTTGGCTACACTGTCTCTCTTGGCTTCCTGGCTCCGTATTTCCCAAAACTTCTAGCTCAACCAGAACAGACAGGGTTCAGATATTTGGTTATCAGATCAGTATTTCCAATTTTAAAGACATTTTTGGAAATTGAACAGATGCCAGCTCTTGCAAAACACACACACACACACACACACAGAGAGAGAGAGAGAGAGAGAGAGAGAGAGAGAGAGAGAGAGAGAGAGCAGGGTTCAGGGGAGCCTTACCACTGAAAAAGAGAAGAAAAAAAATGAGCGTAGACTGGGTCAAAGATCACCTAGCAGCAGCCAGCTGTTCTAGGAAAGGACCCACCCAAGCCCGATGGGAGGCTCAAGTTCACCTAAATGGCACAGATCTACACTGCATTCCTCACAGACATGGTGCAGCCTACAGGTCAAGCTATGCCGGAAAGGCTAAGGCAATGTTTCCAATTTGGAAGACATCACAACTTTCCCACTCTTGGACTGGATTATGGAGATCAAGAAAGGCCACTCAAAAATAGTATTGGCATTTCTCTTGATCCAAGAAAAGCCTCGTGTTACAATAATATTAGGTATTAAGTTTGTGTGTTATCTTCTAATTTCTAAATTTTACCATTGTGAAATGCCCGGATGGAACCCAAACTCCCAAGTTGCAGCTGGTGTTGAGGCCCTAGATGAGCATTAGCCTGGATTTCCTCTTGGGGCATGGTGCCAGATAGTTAAGGGAGGTTGGGCAGAGGTATTCCCAAAGGCTCTGAACTATCTTTGCAACCCTGTATAGTTCAAAACCGATTCCAAACTGTGAAGTCTGTGTGGATAAATAGATAAAAACAAGGGAGAGTGACCCAAGTTGTTCAATAATTATTTGGAGATAAAATACAGATAATTCTCGTACGGTTGTGAATCTTAAACGATTCTAGTCCTTGTGCTCTTGTGATCTTTGGACCCCTCTGCCCTCCTTTCTGTCTCATAACTGTCCCTGTTTCCATCTCTGCTTTGCCACTGCTACTGTTGCAGGAGCTTTGATAGATGTTATCCACAGAATGATTGATACAATGTTTTTTTTTTTAAAGAGTTTTGTCTTTCTAGAATCGAAAACAGATATTTATTTCTACTTTCCCTGCTGACTAACAAGTGAGGAGATGCTGAAGCTTGATCCTGGGGTCCCGAGCATGCGAGGCAGAAGCTGGACCACTGAGCTGGCTCCTTTGGTCCCGTGCATGGGAGGCAGAAGCTGGACCACTGAGCTGGCTCCTCTTCTCTCGTTTTATTTCGATTTGAGGCAGGAGTCACTAAGCTGCCTCAGGTAAGGACTGAATTCATCATGGAATCCTCCTTCCTTGGCTTCAGAGTAGCTGGGATGACCGGCTAATTTTGTTTGCCAGTAAGCTGTTTGAAAGAAGTCACCTTCTTAGGCTCTAACGATGTTCTTATTTGGATTGTGAAATGAATCCTTTGGTGAAGGCTCAAAGCACAGGCCAGTGCTATGGCAGTTTTAAGGAAACTAGATTATGTAATATTTTCAGATTATGTTGTTTTAGTTTTCTTTATTATTATTATTAAGAATCTTTCCAAACACAATTAAAGGATTAAGAGTGAATTGTTGGTTATGATAAGCTATTTGGCAATTCTTTAATCCCGGATTTCCCCCACATTTCTGTTTATTATACTGTAATAAAATGACCTTATAAAATGCACTAAGCTTAATAAAATATAATTCAAATTCAAAATAACTAGAAAAAAAAGTATGCCAAAATACTAAGTTTTGAAATTAAGTAAAAGTACTAATTGTACCTGGAAGACTCGAGGATCGGCAGGGGTTTGTCTTTCCCTTCTACTGTTGTCAAATGAGATAGGATGGAGATACTCACAGCTCAGAAACATATATAAACAGCTTCCAAATAAGAGCCTTAGTGGACACTTTGAAAGTAAAAGGAACACCCTAAGGTTATTTTAAGTCCAAGAAAATAATCAGAACATCCAGGTGAATACCAAAAATTTACAAAAAAAGTGAATAAATTTTTCTCAATTAAAAAATAAGACTCTGGGCTGGAGAGATGGCTCAGTGGTTAAGAGCATTGAGTGCCCTTCTAGAGGGCTTGAATTCAACTCCCAGCAACCACATGGCAGTTCACATGGAACTGTCTGCAACTCCAGTTCCAGGGAAGCTGACACCCTCAAACACCAATGTACATACAAGAAAAATAAATTTTAAAAAAGACTCTATTAAACCACAATAGAAAATCCTTGTGCTTCATGTAACTTTTGTGTGTTAATAGATAGTCACAATGGTCACTGATAATAAAATAAAATTTCCTGATTCAAAAGGATAGTATATAAAATAAGAGTCAATATTTTAATTGTCCAAGAACAGGAGACATTTCCTTTCCTTGAGACTCATACCTGAAACTTTCCCATCTTGGGTTTGTGAGTATTAGGGAAATATATGTGAAGAAAAAACAAAATATGTATATCATACATTGGCAGTACACTATTCTTCAAATTTTACAAATTATTAATTAATTTCCCTCACCCAGTTGTATCAGTCTGAAATATTTGGATACATAAATCACAAATCTATAAAATATGCAAATAGAACATTTTTAAAATATATTTATTGCAGGATATTTAACCTTAATATTCCTCCCTCTGTCTCTCTGTCTCTCTTTGTCTCTGTCTCTCTGTCTCTGTCTCTCTTTCAATCTCCCTTCTTTTTTTTCCTATATTATACTGTTGGCCCAGAACTTTCCATATAAATCTGGCTGAGTCTTGAACTCACAAAGTTCTGCCTGCCTCTACCTCCCACATGCTGGAATTAAAGTCATACATCATAATTCTCTGCACTTCTTTACTCTTAAAGCTCTTAAAATGAGTCTATGTCCTCTTTAGAATGGCGAGGTTGTGGTTTCCTTTTGAAACCAGTCTTTAGAAGCCTGGAAGTGTAGCAGACATGACTTAAGACCTCTCTGGCATCCCACCTAAGTATTGATGTCCCCTAAAACGTAAAAGTACTTAGTTTATCCGAAGCAGTTGGGTAGAGAGATAAGCCTGCGATAAAATTATCTCACATAAATTCAGTCGTGTACAAAGAACTCAACGCCACAAGCTCACCAGCACAAGAGTTATTGAGGACATACTTTTGTTTGAGACAACAGCCTGAAGGGGAATGCAGAAAGGAGGAAGTCATACCAGTGTGAGAGGCTTTACCACAGCAAAAGACACAGGAATTAATGGGTTAGGAGCAAAGGAACACTTAGTCAGAACAAAAGACAAGAAAAGGGAATTGTAGCTTGCTAGTTAGGGAGCCAGAGGCAAATGTACTTGATAAACCAGAGGAAACAGGAATCTCTTTAATAAACACGCAACAGCTCTATATAGGTTCAAAGAAAACACAAGATGCAGTACAAGTATTTACATTGATGTCAAATTGCAAAAAAAAAATTGTCAAAACTTAAAAAATATAAAATTGAAAATAAAATAAAAACACGTGAAAAATATTTATAATTAGTGACTGGGGCTCACACTCAAACTTAAGAAGCTATCCAAAGCAGTAAAAGTTTCAAAATGAAGGTATAAGGATGAAATGCTAATGAGCATATAGAAACCTGTCACCCCAAAGAGTTCATGATAAGAAACTTGAATAATAAACTATGATTCTATTGAATACATAATTCCTCAGAAACAAGAGATACACAGAAAATTGTGTATCCTGTATCAGTCACAGTAATAATAAAATCATTATTTAAAAGACAAGTAGTAAATTAGACTAAGAGAATTACTAAGAAATCAGTGAGATACTTATTGCAAAATAAGAAACAGAATATAGCAGGGTGTACAGCTTGTACTGTTATATGAACTGTGATTATGCACTATTATTATATACACCATGATATATAGGATGTTACTACATGCTCTGTAATTATGTGCTATTATTGCATCCATTGTGGTATATGTACTGTTATTGCATATGCACTGGGGCATATGTGCTATTATTGTATACTTTGCACCATATATGCTGTAATTATTTCAGCAAAAAAAGGTAGAAGGGAGCTCACATTACATACAGTAAATTTCAAATTTGTGCAAGATTTTTGATACTGCAGTGCATGTAATATTTCCATATTCTTTTGGCATGTAGCTTAGCAATTCAAGAATTTCTGTTGTTTATATGATTTTTAAGTTATTTTTAATTCAGGCTATCAGGTAAAATATGTTTTATAAGAATAAAAAAGCAGACAACAGCAGGAATGTGTTAAATTGTATCGTTAACAAACAAGTATTGCTGCTTTTTTCCCTTTATGAAGCAAGAAGAAAAGTTCATGTTAGTAACTCCCAACTCTGTAGAACGCTAGAGAATGAATAGAAATCACTGAAGCCACAACAGAATGATTACATAGGAATTAAGTTGCATATGGAAAGGGTGCATTACAGTCTTTGCCATTTCTGTGTGTTTTGCACCTGCCCCCACCGTGTGTGTGTGTGCGTGCGTAGGTTTAAAAAAGAAAATTAGTAAACCCTCATAATGCACGGTTTGTCCACATCTGAATTTGGCTGGAACATGGGAACTCTGCAAACGCTAGGGAACCTAGGGAACAGCTTCTTGACTGAGATGCAGGTGGTCACGTGATTCTGCGGTGACCGGAAGCGCTCTGCTGCTAAGTCCTTGAGCACACCATCAGTGTGAGGGATACGTGCGTGCACCCTAGTCCTCTTGTCACCTCCCACAGACATTCTCCTATCCACACGCCCTGCTCAGTGTAGGACAAGGCACGCCACACATCCTATTTCATTTGCTACAAAGCCACACACAGTGCTTTGCTCACCGCGGCAGGGCGGCTACAGGTGTGCACAGCACTGCACAGCTCCTAACTTCTGTGCCCCAGCCATACCTGTTTCCTCCGGTCCCTGGAAAGCGCGTCTGTTCCTGTGTCCGCGGCTGGAGTTGTGGGTTTGATGAGCTGCCGGGGTCAGGAGCTAGGAATAGAGACAACCAGTTTGTTACTGGATAGCAGGGGAGTGGCATACCTAAGGCTTCTGCACAGGCAGAGGAAGGGTGAACTCACTTTAACTCCCGCAGTCAACCCTGGAGCCCCCGGGGCGGCGGGTGTTGCTGAACCTCGGTAGCTCTGCAGCTCCAGGCGCAGGCTCATCAGGTCTGCTTGCAGGGCAGCCAACTGGTACAAGGACATCGCTGTGAAACTGCTGGACAACAGGGCCAGCAGGAGGGTAGCAGCCAGCAGCCTTCCATCCCTGCAGATCCCAACCCAGGCACCCTCCTTCTGCGGAGTGATGGGAACATATCCCACTTTCATATCTTCTCCTTTCTCAGGGCAAACACAGAGGCGCGGTGGTGGCAGGGTCTTTGCAGACTCATCCATTGCAGGAGGAGCACTTTGAAGGTCTAGGCCTTTGGAGTAAGTGACCACAGGGATGGGTCATTTCCTGTCATCTGTGTCTCAGAAGGCTTCCCTCAGAGCATGGCAGGGCTGGGCTCCCCCAGGAGCACTCTCCTGACTTTCTCTCTTCTGCATCTTTTGCTACCCTGAAGTAGGTTCTCTGGCTCTGGCCTTCCATGGATTGCTCAATCTGCCTTCCGCATTTCACTTTCAGTTTTTGTAAGATTTTTTCATTCTATCTCAATACAGTCCTGTTTGTGGGAGATGAGAGGCCTCTGACACGGCGGCAACTGGGGGCAGCTTGGGGTTCAGACTGGCTCACTCCAGACAAGTTTATCGAAGGTGCTTTCCCTTCAGTATGCTCTTAAGAACTGTCTACTTGAAGCCTCATGGCTTCTAAGGAAGGGGAAAAGGGGACACTGAAGGCCTAGTGGTGTAATAAAGGATAATTAATGTGCAAGTCAGATAAGCTCAGTGCTTGAGCCTGAACTGCATTTGGCTGCAGGACAAGGAAGCTAACAGCTCCCCAGTGGAAGATGAAACAGGAGCACCATAAAGCCGAGTGGGTGAACTCCACCCGAACTTCTCTGCCGTTGTCTTACTCAGGCAACAAAGAGAACATACTAGAGATCTATTTAAGGCCACACTGGGGGCTCTTTAAATGTGGGGTGGATTACAGGGAAGCATGGCTTCCTCTTTGCCTTTGAGACTCAGTGTCAGAGAGCCATTGGGCTCAGATCATCTCCCTGCCAATCTTCGCTCCCCTATCCTTGCTCCTGTGACCTGTGCCAGGAGCTGGTGCACAATCTCCACATTGATGGCATTCGTTTCATAGGTATGGACACAGCATGTCCTCAGTCTGTACCTGGGCTTGGAGACATGCAGGCACTGTTCCATTCATTTTAGTTTTTCCTGGTCTGGAAGGCTGACTGGGGCCTAGTACCTCAACATCCGTTTATCTTTCAGCACAGGCCGTTGAACACTTAGCCTAGTCGCCATTTGTCTAAACCTCAGGCTGCTGAGCAGTCTTTGCTTCCCGGCCCCCTCCTGTAAGTTTAGGAATAAAATCTCAGAAACAAGGATACACAGCGGCAAGGACTCCAGAGAGAAGCTTCCCAGTCACCCATCCTGCTCCTGCCCCTGGCCTTCCCTACATCAATTACAAAACCTCTGTGTGGATCAGTTTCCTCTTTTTCTTTTGCAAGTCAAGGTTTCTCTGCATATCCCTGGCTGTCCTGGAACTCTCTCTGTAAACCAGGCTGGCCTCGAACTCAGAGATCCAACCCACCTGCCTCTGCCTCCTGAGTGCTGGGATGACAGGAATGCACTGCCACCGCAGCACAGAGGAAGGATTCTTGCTCTCGTAATCAGTGCTGAAATCGGTATTTTTGTATGGGTGGCCCTGTAACATTTGCAGGGGGGTCTCCACCAAGAGTAAAGAGTCAAAAAAATTCTGTTCGATTGTCATTTCCTGTCTCATTCCCAAGTGATGCTATGAGTCTTCTTCACTGGGACTGAGACTTTTCCTCTCTTCAGTTCTGTGAGTTTTAAAGAGCTTTGTAAACCCTTTGCTGCAATCTTTACCCCCAAAATGAGCTGTTCTCTAATCTCCCAAGTGAAAGTAGGGTATGAAGGATGTGTGTGACTTTTCTTTAGGTCTGGCATCAAACAATATTTGCATTACCTTGCTCCAGTCCAGCATCACAAATAATGACCCCTGGTATAAATGGAGATTCCCTAAAGACCTCCACACCCAAAGAGACTAAGACATTAAGACTCACTCATGAGACTTAATGGTAGGACTAGAATTCCACCACCTGATAGGCTGAGACAGGGGAAGGATTGTGGGTTCAAGGTTAGCCTGGGCTCTAGATGCTTCAAAATTAAGCACATATTTCAGTCATGTGTTATTACCAAATTACATACGGAAATTAAATGACTTGAAGGAGTGCAAGACCGAGAGACGGCACCTTCCTCCTGTTCCTCTGTATAGTTATCCAGAGGGAATTATCTAGCCAGGATAAAGGATGTCTTTTGCCTTCTCTACTCTATAAGACAAAAAACTTCACAGCCAAGATTCTCAAGTTAAAGCCCAGACCAACCTGAGTTCAGGCCATTTTAGAATAAGTGTCCAAAGTTGGTTCAGGTCGTGGTGTCGCTGTGCATCAGTGGTTACTGGTTCTTCAGAAAAAGGTTTCCAGGAAACCTCCCTCTGGTTAGCAGGCACCACTGTTTGTACAACCTCCACAGGGTTCACACAAAATCAGCTCCTTTACATCTATGGCTTTTGGATTTCTTACGAGATGAACAAGACAAAAGTTATCTCTCCAAACTAAAGGTTTGCTTCCTGCAGAGGAAATGGCTTGACAATCAGAGCTTTACTAGATGCTGAGTGCACTCTTAATCCTTGGCTACCACACAGCACTGGTGTATTCCTTGTCCTTAGGCAGTTTGTGGGTGTTCGCCATATAAGGCACGTCTCTTGGAATATCACATAGATCTTGTTTTAATGCAGTAAGTTAGTCTGCATCTTGGTGCTGAGGATGTTTGTATTAGGTTTTTTTTTTTTTTTTTTTTTTGAGACCGGATTGCTGTTTCCTGTGGGTTTGTTGGTTGTTCGGGATGCTGGGATGTTGCTATTTCTCCTTCTCCTATTAGTAGTGTGTTGGCCACGATGGACCCCAGCTCTCCTTTGTTCCCACACGGCTCTTATGCATTTATTCTTTCCCGTGCTTCACTGAATGAGACTCCTCTCGTCCAGGCCCCCTCCTCTCTGCATAGTATTCAAACGGATCGTTTCTGTAGCACTGACCTCGCTGTCATGGACTGCACTGTCATAAAATGTTCCTATTTCTATCAATCCTGACTGGCAACACTCACTTTAAGGTCTTGAAATACAATATCCACTACTTTCCTGGCTGTTATTCTAATGTTCTTGCCTTCAGAGAGAACTGGTGTTTTTCCTTTACAGTTTTTAATATTGTTTCTTTGCAATGTATTTTTGATAACTTGACTGAAATACGGGACAGAAATGTTCTTCTCTGGTGACTTATATTTGGGGACTCTCGATTCCCCTTAAGGAGCCTATTTTCCTTCGGTTTGAGAAAATGCTCTAATTTCATTGACTAGCTTTCCTAGGCTTCTTGGAATCTTGGCTGTGCTCACTCCCATTTGGAGGTATTATTGTCTCAGCTTTGGCTGCTATTTTGTAATGTCTTCTTTTGCTTGGTTGTATCTGTTATAATTCCTCCCATTATATTCTTATTTTATTAATTGACTCTTTGCTTCTAACATTGCTAACTGCTTTTTTTTCCCAGCCTTGATTTTCATGATTTTGGCTATTTTACCCATTTGTTCACTGTATCGATAAACATGAATAAACTTGTAGAATGACTATACATTATAAATGGAGTCTTATTAGATTAAACTATACAAGTGACTATCTGTGTGCTAGACAGGCTGAGAACCAGCTACCTGCTTAGCCCAGGATGCCTCACAACTCCCGATCTGTGACTGAAACTCTGGAAGATTCCACTGTGTCAAGTCCATGATGAAAGGGTGAAGATGTTGGGTCCTGAGAGAAGTGAAGGGCAGCAGTGGCAGCAACAAGAGGAGATGCACTCATCAGCAAGACGCAAAGGGAGGCAAGCAATACTGTCTCCCCTCCCCCAGGAGGAGCTATTGATCTGTGGTTCACTACTCAGGTTTCACTTACTCCCGAGGAGGGCCTCAGTTCCCCCTTCCTGAGGATGCCCTAACACCCATCCAGATGTGTCTCTTTGGCAAGGCATCTGTCTTTATGTTTATTCTCTCTACTTGACTCATTTATTTTGTCCTTTATTATGGATCTTCATCAGTGTTTCTCGGTCACCCTTTTTCTTATTTGTTGACAGGAACACATAGGCTATTAAACTGCCATAAACTGCTTGGTAAAATTCAATTCTGTCTGATAGCTTTCTTATTATTGATGTTTTGTATAAAAAAAATAAGAAAATTTAGTCTGGATTTTCATTTTGACTAAGATGTTATTTCAAGGTATTTTGTGGGGGGGGCGGTTGTTTGAATTTTTAGGAGTGTTTGTGACCTTTCTCATTAATTTATAGCCCACTGTATTTCATGAAGGTAATTCCTCATACTGCTTCCCTTGTGAGGTTTAGACTTTAGATATTTGAAGACAAGACATATCATTGATAATTTTGTTATTCTAATCTAAAATATCTCATTTAATTAATTAATTAATTAGGGTTTATATGATCAGTCAGACTAAACAATAAGAAAGTTTCCTATAAGTAATTATTTTTAAGCATAGCTATCATGTTTTTCTGTGGTTTTTCCTTGTGGTTATTGAGGGCATCTTATGTGTGTTATATTATTATTAATTACTGGTTATATATGACTACATATAATATTCCATATATATTACATATATTGAATGCAAAGCTATTTAAAATTGAGGCTAAAATAACTTATGCCTGTCCTAACAATAATTATTTCCCAAATGTGTAAATATAAAAATTTAAATGGTGGTTACAACTTTAAAGAGTTGATTTAAAGAGCTGACTGGCTTACTGGTTTTTTTGTTGTTGTTGTTTTGTTTTTTGAGGGATAATTTGTAAAATTTTGGTGGCACATCCTTAGCAATGTGAGAGTATGAACCTATAGCTCGTGTTAAACCCTGAATCTGAAATAAGTTTCTAAGACACCTTGAAGAAAAATATTTAATGGAAAACAAAATGATAGCGAAAAATGTGGTCAAAACGCACATGCTGGCTAATTCTTCATCACAGCAATCACACTATAGGATAAAAAAGACTTAAGAGAGGAAGGTTTACTTTGTCTCGGGACTTCAGAAGAATCAGCCCACCATTTCCAGTGGACAAAAAGGTGCATGGTCAGGCTGGGCACACAGGCAGGAAGCCTAGCCTCTCAGCCAGCTTCTACATTTCTCTTTGTACTCTGTCCCTGTATCCCTGCCCCAGGGATAGTTTTGCTATACACAAGATATGTCTTATCCCTCAGTCAATGTCTGCAGATACCTTCACAGACACAGCCTGGACATATCACATCAATCTCCTATAAAATTCTACTTGACAATAAAGGTTAGGCATCACAAATACTAGTCTGAAAGAATTAGGAAATAAGCCAACATGACCAAGTAATGAATTTGTAACAAAGACAGCCAGCGTCAATGACTGA